GCGACATAACTTCGCCGTTGATCATGGCGAGATTATGTCGTGAATATCGTGTCCACAACTACACGAACTTTTTTGGAAAACTTTAAATGGTCATATCTCGGCCAAATAAAGCCCGATTACGGTCAAAAATGGAAGGGCTACTCGTGGAGGTCCATAGAAACCGCCAAGATCAACGGCGAAGTTATGTCGCTTTGAAACGTCATATCTCCAAGATTTTTTTAGAGCGGCGGAGATATGACGTTTAAAAGCGACATAACTTCGCCGTTGATCATGGCGAGATTATGTCGTGAATATCGTGTCCACAACTACACGAACTTTTTTGGAAAACTTTAAATGGTCATATCTCGGCCAAATAAAGCCCGATTACGTTAAAAAATGGAAGTGCTACTCGGGGAGGTCCATAGAAACCGCCAAGATTTTTTTTTTAGAGCGGCGGAGATATGACGTTTCAAAGCGACATAACTTCGCCGTTGATCATTGCGAGATTATGTCGTGAATATCGTGTCCACAACTACACGAACTTTTTTGGAAAACTTTAAATGGTCATATCTCGGCCAAATAAAGCCCGATTACGGTCAACAATGGAAGTGCTACTCGGGGAGGTCCATAGAAACCGCCAAGATTTTTTTTAGAGCGGCGGAGATATGACGTTTCAAAGCGACATAACTTCGCCGTTGATCATGGCGAGATTATGTCGTGAATATCGTGTCCACAACTACACGAACTTTTGTGGAAAGCTTTTAATGGTCATATCTCGGGCAAATAAAGCCCGATTACGGTCAAAAAGGGAAGGGCTACTCGGGGAGGTCCATAGAAACCGCCAAGATCATATATCCAAGATTTTTTTAGAGCGGCGGAGATATGACGTTTCAAAGCGACATAACTTCGCCGTTGATCATGGCGAGATTATGTCGTGAATATCGTGTCCAGAACTACACGAACTTTTTTGGAAAACTTTAAATGGTCATATCTCGGCCAAATAAAGCCCGATTACGGTCAACAATGGAAGTGCTACTCGGGGAGGTCCATAGAAACCGCCAAGATTTTTTTGAGAGCGGCGGAGATATGACGTTTCAAAGCGACATAACTTCGCCGTTGATCATGGCGAGATTATGTCGTGAATATCGTGTCCAGAACTACACGAACTTTTTTGGAAAACTTTAAATGGTCATATCTCGGCCAAATAAAGCCCGATTACGGTCAAAAAGGGAAGGGCTACTCGGGGAGGTCCATAGAAACCGCCAAGATCAACGGCGAAGTTATGTCGCTTTGAAACGTCATATCTCCAAGATTTTTTTAGAGCGGCGGAGATATGACGTTTCAAAGCGACATAACTTCGCCGTTGATCATGGCGAGATTATGTCGTGAATATCGTGTCCACAACTACACGAACTTTTTTGGAAAACTTTAAATGGTCATATCTCGGCCAAATAAAGCCCGATTACGGTGAAAAAGGGAAGGGCTACTCGGGGAGGCCCATAGAAACCGCCAAGATCAACGGCGAAGTTATGTCGCTTCGAAACGTCATATCTCCAAGATGATCATGGCAAGATTATGTCGTGAATGTCGTGTCCACAACTACACGAACGTTTTTGGAAAACTTTAAATGGTCATATCTCGGCCAAATAAAGCCCGATTACGGTCAAAAATGGAAGGGATACTCGGGGAGGTCCATAGAAACCGCCAAGATCAACGGCGAAGTTATGTCGTTTTGAAACGTCATATCTCTAAGATTTTTTTAGAGCGGCGGAGATATGACGTTTCAAAGCGACATAACTTCGCCGTTGATCATGGCGAGATTATGTCGTGAATATCGTGTCCACAACTACACGAACTTTTTTGGAAAACTTTAAATGGTCATATCTCGGCCAAATAAAGCCGGATTACGGTCAAAAAGGGAAGGGCTACTCGGGGAGGTCCATAGAAACCGCCAAGATCATATATCCAAGATATTTTAAGAGCGGCGGAGATATGACGTTTCAAAGCGACATAACTTCGCCGTTGATCATGGCGAGATTATGTCGTGAATATCGTGTCCACAACTACACGAACTTTTTTGGAAAACTTTAAATGGTCATATCTCGGCCAAATAAAGCCCGATTACGTTAAAAAATGGAAGTGCTACTCGGGGAGGTCCATAGAAACCGCCAAGATTTTTTTTTAGAGCGGCGGAGATATGACGTTTCAAAGCGACATAACTTCCCCGTTGATCATGGCGAGATTATGTCGTGAATATCGTGTCCACAACTACACGAACTTTTTTGGAAAACTTTAAATGGTCATATCTCGGCCAAATAAAGCACGATTACGGTCAAAAAGGGAAGGGCTACTCGGGGAGGTCCGTAGAAACCGCTAAGATCAACGGCGAAGTTATGTCGCTTTGAAACGTCATATCTCCAAGATTTTTTTAGAGCGGCGGAGATATGACGTTTCAAAGCGACATAACTTCGCCGTTGATCATGGCGAGATTATGTCGTGAATATCGTGTCCACAACTACACGAACTTTTTTGGAAAACTTTAAATGGTCATATCTCGGCCAAATAAAGCCCGATTACGTTAAAAAATGGAAGTGCTACTCGGGGAGGTCCATAGAAACCGCCAAGATTTTTTTTTAGAGCGGCGGAGATATGACGTTTCAAAGCGACATAACTTCCCCGTTGATCATGGCGAGATTATGTCGTGAATATCGTGTCCACAACTACACGAACTTTTTTGGAAAACTTTAAATGGTCATATCTCGGCCAAATAAAGCCCGATTACGGTCAAAAATGGAAGTGCTACTCGGGGAGGTCATAGAAACCGCCAAGATTTTTTTTAGAGCGGCGGAGATATGACGTTTCAAAGCGACATAACTTCGCCGTTGATCATGGCGAGATTATGTCGTGAATATCGTGTCCACAACTACACGAACTTTTTTGGAAAACTTTAAATGGTCATATCTCGGCCAAATAAAGCCCGATTACGGTCAAAAAGGGAAGGGCTACTCGGGGAGGTCCATAGAAACCGCCAAGATCAACGGCGAAGTTATGTCGCTTTGAAACGTCATATCTCCAAGATTTTTTTAGAGCGGCGGAGATATGACGTTTCAAAGCGAAATAACTTCGCCGTTGATCATGGCGAGATTATGTCGTGAATATCGTGTCCACAACTACACGAACTTTTTTGGAAAACTTTAAATGGTCATATCTCGGCCAAATAAAGCACGATTACGGTCAAAAAGGGAAGGGCTACTCGGGGAGGTCCGTAGAAACCGCTAAGATCAACGGCGAAGTTATGTCGCTTTGAAACGTCATATCTCCAAGATTTTTTTAGAGCGGCGGAGATATGACGTTTCAAAGCGACATAACTTCGCCGTTGATCTTGGCGGTTTCTATGGACCTCCTCGAGTAGCCCTTCCCTTTTTGACCGAAATCGGGCTTTATTTGGCCGAGAGATGACTATTTAAACTTTTCCAAAAAAGTTCGTGTAATTGTGGACACGATATTCACGACATAATCTCGCCATGATCAACGGCGAAGTTATGTCGTTTTGAAACGTCATATCTCCGCCGCTCTAAAAAAAATCTTGGCGGTTTCTATGAACCTCCCCGAGTAGCCCTTCCCTTTTTGACCGTAATCGGGCTTTATTTGGCCGAGGCCAAATAAAGCCCGATTGCGATGAAAAACGGAGGGTTAAGTCGTGGAGAAGCATATAACCATAGCATCACAGTCATTTATTTCAAAAAAATAAACGTGATATCTCTGCTAAATAAAGCCCGATAGCGGGCATACTGGGAATTGGGTCCTTTAGGTTCACCAGGACTATATCAATGGTATGGTTTAACCAAGGATATATGGGTCAACTAGTTACCATCGATGGTGATGTAGCTGTTGCTGGGGACCGGCTGAAAGAAAAAGCATTCATATTTGTTTTACCAATTCGGTCAAATAGTGAGATGTATGGATGCATAATTAAATTTATTTTCTTAAAATCAATAAGTACATTGTTTTCATTTTTTAACACTAATAAAATGCCATAATGTTACCAACTAATAATGAACAACGCATTTAACAAGAAGGAAAAGGTTAACAAGTTTTGGTTGGGTTGGTTTTGTTTTTGAAAAAATATCTTTCTATGCCGTATGTATATACAAATTGTTTTTCACTAGACTATTTAGCTAAACATACACACAGTTGCGCGCACACACACATATAAATAAGTAAAATGAACTAACTAACCAAATATTAGCACACATACAGATACAAGCAGTTAATATATATTAATTAGTTGGTTAATCAACACTATTACATACATAACAGTACAGATACTTATATAGGCAAAGCGTAAGTACAATAAGTTTTGCTCTAAGTTTTATAACTATATAGATTTTTGAGTTTTAGTGTTTGCTTTTTTGATAAGTTTGTAGTTTGTTGTAGGATATGTGAAATTGCAAGTTACATTTCATATGTTTCTGGAACTATAACTAGACATTGTAAACATATTGTTTTACTTGGTAACAGTTAGATAGAGTATACGACATTTATGTATGCTGAAGAGTGGTAAAAACAGATATACATGTATATAATATGCGTTTGAGTCGTATGTGAAATGCATGCATTTTGATTTGCTATTTTTTTGTTAATTTTTCTTTTTGCTGTTCTTTGTTGTTTTTTTTTTTTTTTTTTTTGTATATTAAATAACAACAATAAAAACGGACAACTTGTAAATAAATACATTTTATAAAAATACAGACGAATCTGTGTGCTATGTATTGTCAAAAATTTAAATTGCGTTGCATTCCACCAGGGCGATCGTAAATATATATATATATACTTGATATGCGCTCTATCTTTCGACATGAATCGGATATATAAATATATTTATATATTCGTATGGAATAATCCGCAATATAATAATTGTTTTTTCGTTGACTACCAACGTTTTTGAGCACAAGGTGGATTCACATACTCGTACAACTAACAGATACTGTTACGCTTACAGATACATATACAGATACAGATGCAGATACAGATACATTTATCAATGGCCTACGCTAAACAACATTAACGAGTACACATACATACACATACATACACACACATATAACATGTATATATATATATCTATATATTTACATAGGTGGTTAACACATTGTCTCGTTATACGGCGGATCCTTTTCCGATTCGGTGCTGCTCTTGATGTTCGAGGACAGCTTGGCAATCTCGTCCTGCACCAGGTGTGTGCTTATCTGTGGAATGGACAGCCCCACATTGCTGCTCTTGGCGGAGGAGGAGGTCGTGGAGGTCGTGGGTTCACCGTCCCGCGACTCCTCTGTGCTGGAGCTGCTCTCCTTGAGAACATTCATGCCCAGCTTGCTGGTGTAGGGCGGCTTCAGCGTTGAAATCAGTTTGGCGCCAACCTGCGAGGGCAACGCAACGCCGGCAACTGCAGCTGTCGAGATTCCGGCACCAGCCGCTGCCTCCGCTGCACCCGGTTCGGTGCTCATCTGCGGCGTTAGCGGCTTGCCCTGGTCCATGCTAAACTGTTTCTTCAGCTGCATGGTACGCGTTGGCACTGCTGGCGCTGCCTGCATCATTACTGGCGCCACGCTCAAATCCAGGGAACTGGAGCTATCGTCACGCAAGCGTCTGCCATCGGCAGCGCCAACGGACGCGGTGCGCTTTGGCTGGTAACGCGCCGTCGCAGCGCCGATAGCAGGGCCAACGCTCATGCTAATGCCCGTCGCCGATTGCGAATCGCCGGCATCCAGGGATGGCTCCGCCGTCAACGAGGGCGTGTCCACGTTGTAGGAGCCAGTTAGCGAAGTGTTCGTCTCATTTGAGCTCTGCTTGATGAAGCGGTACGGATGCGCCGAGTAGTCCGTGTCCGTGCTGGAGTTCTTTTGCAAGCTTTCGCTGGACTTCTTAAACAGCCGCCCGCTGCTGTCGTACGGCGCATTCAGGAAATCGCTGGTGGCACGTGTTGGCACCAGCGGCGACTGGTAGGCCTGCTGCTCCATGGACGAGTTGCGCTGCCAGGGCCGCTCGTGTTTAAGCTGGAAGCCACTATTCGCCGCATGACTGCTGCCCGCGCCGCTAGTATCGCTGCTGTCGCCGGCTGTGGTCCCGCCAATTGGTCCGCCCTCGGCGGCGGGCTTAGAGGGCGACAGCTCAATGGCCGTCTCCCGGCGCAGCGGATAGCGATGGCTATAGTCCACAGAGACGCCAATCTGTAAAGGAAGGCAGAGTTAATGATGAGCATGGCCTGACCGGGAATTGAGCGTAGAGCTTACCTCATAGGCCTGCACGCTGGCATCGATGGAGCCGCGTGCCTCGAAGAGACCCTCCAGTATTCTATAATCGTTCTCTTCGCATTCCTTTAGATGCTTCTTCTCTTGCAGCGCAGCGGCCTCGGCGCGCGACATTTCCGTCTTGGGCCGATCCAAGGAGGCTGTGAATATTCGAATTATAAGAATTAATTGACGGAAGACAAAAGAATAAAGAATGAAGGCAGGCGCAGGCGTTTTGTTTGGTTTGGTTTGGTTTGTTTGGCGGCAAGCACAAGGCAAATGAATATTACGCATACGCCCGGTTAGCTATACACAGATTACAATTTGGAGTTTCAGATTCAGATTCCGCTTTTAATTCGATGGTACGGCCAATCAGATACGCTTGGATAGGTGGTGGTTGGGGATGGGGATGGGAGCAACGCCAACTTACCTTTGTTGCTCTGCAGCGAGACGGTCGGCGAGGCAATCAAATGGCAGACGTTCTCCAGTTCGTCCGTTATGGATGTATATTCACTGTGCAGTTTCAGCAATATATTTCTGGAGGGTTTCGCATGCAAAACTGATTTACCTAGAGTTCGAGGTTAGGTTGAGAATGCGTCAGAGATCAAATTAGAGAGACAGACAGAGAGAGAGAGAAAGAAAGAAAGAGTGTGTGGCGAGAGTTAACGAGAGGCGAGTACAGTGAAAGCTGTCAGTCCGCGCTAGAGAGCTTTCACTGTATATGTACTACGACATCAACAAGAACATCAACAACAACAGTATTATTATTATATGGGCTGGTTAAAGCTAAATATGTGGCCAATTTGATAGCTTGGTTTGGTCGGATTAAGGTTAAGGTTTAGTTAGGTTTGGGGTTAGGAATTGCCATGAGTTGGGTTTTGGTTAGCAGAATTTCGGAGCGCATTTACTTGCAGCTGCTGCACTAGTCTAACGCTTATTGTCTACGTCTATGGGAAACATACCCGTCTGTGGCACTGGGGGCACGTCCTTGTCGCTGTCCGGCTCGGACTGGGTGAGGCTCAGCTGGCGGCGTGAGAGCGTCGTCAGCTGATTGAGGCTGATGTGCGAACGATTGATGTCCGCGGCGGTTAGCGAATACGTCTCCGAGTTGCGGCGACAGAGCGAGACGGTGCGCTGGCGCAGCGCCCGATGCCTGGCAGCTGTATGCGAAGAAGGCGGGAAGAATATTGGTTTTGTTGTTATTGAAACACAGGCTGGCGGAACAGAAACACAGAAACAAAACTCAAAACGGAAGAAACAGTAGTGAAAATGTAACGTAACGTAACGTTACGTAACGTGGAAGCGTAAGCGTAAGCGGAAGTGGATTAGTTGCCAGGCGTTTGCTTAAGGCAATTCGCATTACCCTCAAAGTTCATGTCCGGCGCCGCATCATCGGAATTGTCGCCGCCGACAAGGGTCTGATCGTCATCCATGGTGCCCATCGGCGTTAGGGTATCCTTGCTCTCGGTGCTGGCGCCCGTATCCTGGCGCACCGTCACATACGGTGTACGCTTGACCGTCTCACAGGTGGACGGGCGCTGCGACAATGGCAAATAAATATCGGAGTCGGGTTCCGATTGCATCGAGGCCTTGCGTACCACCTGCTCGTTGAGCGCCTCACGCGACTTGACCACCTCGTCGGGCTCCTCGGGCAGCGGCACCACCTCAAAGTGTGTGCCCTCATCCAAGATGTACGCATCTGGTCGCACCTCGGTCAGCGAACGATTGAAGCGACGTCGATTGTTCACCTTCGGTGGGGAAAGATAGAACCAACAATAGGTTAAAGGTGAAATAAAACACATTCATTCAACCGCAACGCACCTGCAGCGAATTTAAAGTAAGCGTGGGTCCCAGACCCAACGATGTAACGATTCCGCCTCCGCCTCCTCCTCCTCCTCCTCCTCCGCCTGGACCTCCGCCGCCGCCTCCTCCGCTGCCACTGCCCCCCTCATTGTCGGACATGGAGATGGTGCGCATGCGATGCATTTCACCCGGAATGTTCATCACGGAGCCACGCAGCTCCTCGTTGCCAGCAGTATGTGCGGACATGAAGCGATGTATGACGCCCAGGTGCGACAGTATTTGCTCCGATGATTCCTCCATTTTGCGCAAACGGAATTCAATGTTCTGCAACACACAGAATGACAACAATGTCACAATTGCAATAAAAACTAACGGAAAACTTTAAGCCATATGCCCAAGCAGCATACAAATGGGCAACTGGTTCGCCGGCGAGGGTCGCCTTTCTATTTATTTTTGGGAATATTCGGCATTTTCTAGCAATACGATTTTACGATGAGGAAAGAACCCGACATGGCAGTTAGTCATGCTATCAAGTAATCGGGATTTGTTTAGTTAGAAATACATTTATCGAGAAAACAATAAGAGATTTTAATTGAGCCGACAAACTAAAAAAGAGACAACCCTCGTATTACTCGACATTTATGGACATTTTCAATTTAAGCTGCAGTTGCGGCTGCCTGTCACTGCGCATAAAACCCAAATCAATGTGCCAAAATGAAAATTGTGCATTTGCATAACAAAAAAAAAAAAAATAATAATCAAACAACTAAAAACTGAAGTGTGTGTGTGTGTGTATACACACCTGCACAGTGGCTGTTTGAATGTTCTCCTTTTGATTGATGTCCTCGATTTTCTGTGACATGGTCTCGACGCGCTCCGTTGTGTTCTTGACGCGCTCGTCGGTCGACTGATTCAATATGATTTCCTGTTCATGAAAGAAGCCCTCGACGCACTCCTCCTCGAAGTCGTACAGCCGCTCCAGATCGTCCTTTTCGAGAAATAGCTTGAGGCCATTGTCCCGCTGCACCTCCAATCCTATGGAAAGAGAGGCGCAAGCAAACAATTGAATTAATCGAATGCCAACAAGAATTATAAGCAGAAGAAGCAGCATAGATGTGAACAATACGCAAATATATTGAAATCACATTTGGACACAAAAGTTGTGGACGAGCACGACGACGACAACGACGAGATGCAGCAATGCGGCAGCAGGCAAAATATATATAGAGAGATATAGAGATTTTTTACATTATTCTCGTTCTAGGGGTCGACAAAGGAGCGCACGCTCTGGTTATTTCACTCACAGGGAACAAAGCTAAACTTGCTCATGCCGGGCTCACCTTTCGCTTTGCGTACGCAATACTTGAGCAGCGAATAGAAATGGCAGAAGGCGATGAAGGGCGGCGGCAGCACCGGCTTCTGCTGATACTCCATGACGACAGTGAAGCGCTGGAACATCCATACCTGCAGGCAAACAAAATTAATATCAATGTCAATATTAAAAATGCATGCTTCAGGTATTTGAAAGTCTAAGTCAGCTAGGGCTGCCCACAGGTATAAAGTCTCTTACTAATCAGTTGAGGTCTTTGCCCAACTTTAGGCAATCTTTTACTAATCAGTTGAGTTCTAAAATCAATTAATCAGTCAAGAAAGCACCTGTGTGCAGCCATTGTATACAAAAATATATTTAATAGTAAAGCGGCTGCAATTAATTAACTCACCTGGTGTGAAACCGAATTGACCTCGTTGAATATGTTATTGAAAACGGCAATGAGCAGATTGATTAACAGGATGTTGGCAATCAATAGGTACATGGACATCGTTATAGGCGTCACCCAATGGCCTGCAAATGACGTTAAGTTTACAAATACAGTTTATATATATATGTAGGGCAGCACTCACCTGTAACGCAGGCGGGCTGACGCGGATCCTCGCCGCAGGGCGGATCGATGTCATCGGCAAAGACCTCGCCATACAGCATGAAGTACGGCTGATAGGTGACCTGTTGAATTGAAACAAAAAATAATAATTAAGAAAAAAAAATAAAGAGCAGTAAAAACGGAGCCAGCTGCTGGGTAGCAACAAAAAACGTTGGCCAAGCGTAATTCAATTTCGGGCTTAAACCGAACGCTTGCCCCGACTGGGTCAACATTAATGCAAGTTTTACACATCGACACAGATAGTTGCTATGGGATATATATGTAAGTGTGTGTGTGTGTGAGTGTGTGTGTCTGTGTGTGTGTGTGTGTGTTGTATATATGTACTGAGCATTTTCATTTAGTTTAGCCAGCATGCTACTGTAGTTAGTTGAGTTCATTAAATGCCTGCCACCATTTCATTAGCATTTGCCGGGTTAATGGCTCTGCGATTTAACTGCGGGGCATGGAGCAGGTCTTGTCACAAGAGTGGGGAGGGGCTGGATGGATGAGCATTTGTGATAGATTTCAAATAATTAAGCGTAGACAGTTTGGTATTTATAAAATACACAGCTGGCTGCCGTTTAATTGAAATTGAAATAACATAGCTTCAATCTCTATTTTTCCAGCAGAGATTCGAATTTTCATTAATAAGGTCCGCGCCAGAGTAAGAGCGAGAGCCGAAACTGATTTTTGTCAAAATCTTAAACTGGATTTATCTTAAATTCATGTTCTATCTGTGTTTGATGTTAATCTGCATTTCTGTATCTGTATCCCATCCGTTCGCTTTAACTTATTTGGGTTTGCGTGTTTATAGTATGTTTTTTTTCTGCACCTGTATCTGTATCTTGATCTTATTTCCATCTATTTCCATTGATTTGGATGCAAATTAAACTATTTAAAATTCCTTTGGCATAGACCTTAGCAGCAGCTCAGGCACATTTTCAACCCAGCGACACGAAATAAAAACGCATTTAAGCTGCGTCAGGACATTATTTGAGCCAAATACACTTTGACTGCGTTAAACATTTGCATATTGCATGCAAATTGCTGCGAAAAGTGTTTACAGTGTATCACAAAAGTATTACTACAGCAGCCTGGCTGTTGAATGAAATTTCGCGAATGACAGCAATGCAGGTTGGGGAAGGGAAGAACCTTGTTCCTTGTGACATTGTTCAAACAGCGAAAGTATTTCGCATGCAAAAATGAATATATTTATGCATATACATATATATACTTAGTGTTAATAATATTAATAGGTATTACAAAAAGATCTTGAAATGCAATTGAAACTGAAAGACAGAAATGATGAATAAATATGCGAGCATATAGGCCAAACAACTGGAAACTGAGTACACACATTTACTTCTCAGATGCAAGTACTTGAATTTTGCTATAGAATAGTTGCAAAACATGCACTATAATTAATTAATAAAACTTAATTAATAAAATGGCATATAAGTCATATAAATTAAATGAGCATATGAGAGAAAAGAAAAGACAAAGGATAAAGACAACGTAGTCGGCGAGCAGGAAACGATATAAGACTCTGTACGAGGAGCCAAAGAACCAACCCGTTGGCACTAAGACACAGTAGAGAAAGAGTGTGTGAGAGAGAGAGAGAGAGTAAGGGAGAGAGAGAGATCAAAGAGAGTTTGGGTAATTCAATTTGGGGTTTTTGGGGTTTACTTGCAACAACATCGATATTTAATGAAATATAAGCAAGAAATTGATAAGAAACCAATTAAGACAAAAATACTCTTTTGCACAATAAAAGAAAATGTTTGAGGCACAACAACAACAACTATATAGACAGCTTGCCATATGTCATATATATATATATATATATATTTCATAATTATCACAAACACACAGCAGGGACGCCAGCTAGGATCAATGCTACACACAGGCTTTTTTTGTTTTTGTTTTTGTTTTTGTTTTTTCTAAATAGCAAACCAATTTTGTTGTTGTACATTTGTGAGATTTCCGCTCAAAAGACTGGGCAGTTCGGGGTTAAGTGTTGTTGTTGTGGGCGTCACAGTGGGCGGCTCTGCGCTGGGCGGCATCCTGGTTGTGCTTGTTGTTGTTGTTGTTGTTGTTGTAGCCGCTGCTGCTGCCGCCATTGCCGCTGCCGTTGCTGCTGCTGCTGCTTGGTTGCGATAATGTGCAGCAAATGCGTTAGATCCGAAGCCCGAGAGACGCGTATTGTGGGAACGACTATTATGACCGAGAGCCCCTTGAAATCCGGGCGCTACGATTGAGCCAGCGATAACCTGGCCATGTCGTGGCAAATACAAAACCAAGGCGAATGCGAATGCGAATGCGAATGCGACGAGAAATGTTGTGAATGGTTTACAAGTAAATAGTGAGTAGGTGAATAAAGAAAAGTGAATAGTGAATGGTGCGTATTTTTATTTATTTATTTTTTTTTGAGTTCGAATGTCGCGCCAAAGAACAAAAGATAGAAAAATACAATACAAGACACAATGGAGAAAATAGCAGTTAGTCAATTGAGTATCGAGTATCAAATAGCGAGTTTCGAGTATCGAGTATCGTTTGAGCATGAAAACTACTTAGTAGAAAACCAAAAAAATGTATAACTAAAATATATATATAGAGCTCGCTGCGAATTCTACTTAAATACCAGTATTTAGCTACAAGTAATTGAGTTTTAAAAAACGTTTTGCTTGCTTTTTTGTTTTTGTTTTTTTTTTTTTATAAAAGTAAATGCATGTACTCCGTTTCTTTCAAAAATACACAATTCAAGCGCTGCAATGGAAATTGTCAGTGTACATAGAGCATATATCCATACATATATACGTTCATAAATGTTAATATTTGTTGAAGGCACACACACACACACACGCACACATACAGACACAATTAATCAGCATGAGCACAAAATATGAGCAGCTTTTTTGTTTGAGCTACAGAATTATTATTTACACGACTGTAAAATTGCATATATGGTACATGTTTTTAATCAACGTAAAAGTACAATTTTCTTCGGCCTGCCGAGACCTATAATACCCTTGCAGATCGGGGATATCTGTGCTTTGAAAGAAACCGATCTTAACTAAGGTAGACAAGGTAGATAAACAATAAGGTTCACATTTATTCAAAGAAAACAAGAAATTTGCCTGGATCGAACATAAAATTGAATACAAAATGTGTTTTTTTTTGTACATATAGGAGCTCGTAATTATATGATATAGTTAGACGATCCGTTTAGTTTTGGCATGGGAACTAATTGACAGGAATTAAAAGACAAATTAATGTCAAGTTTAGACAAGGAAAGGAATAAAAAACAGACGAGCCTGGCTATGTAGAATGGGGATTTAGCGTTTGATCAGGAATATATATTATATTTGATCAGTTCACATATATATTGTTCCCTCTGCAAGTGTACTTGGTTTGTTTACCGGCATTAATTATTCACACACACGCACACAGACACGTACATAAATACAAATGTGTGTATATTTTGTCATTTCATAGACAAATTGCTAGCTGTGCTTACCTCTCTGATGAGCCGCCAGGTGGGCTCATTGTTGGGATAGAGTATGGCCTGGCGACTGACGCCGAAACTCATAAGAACCACAGCCAAGAGCACCACGAAATATATCATATTCTTAACCATTTTGCCCATCATGGTGACCAAAGGACCTGTGCGCAAAAGTAAAGGATAAATATACTTATATATATATCAATAGAGCTGGCGACTTACCCAGGTACTTGTTGACTCCGAGAATGTTCAATATGCGCAGATACCAGTAGATGCTGTCCACGCAGTAAATGACACGCCCAATGTCCATGGTATTGGGGCGAAAGCGAAAGGACAGGCCGATAAGAAAGAGTATTATGGCAGCACCGTCGCAAGGATTCCACATGTTCCACGCCCACACGGAGAATTTGTGCCTGCAACAACAGAGAAAAAAAGACCGCAACAGAATCGCATTAATGAAGGGCTCCACAGAAATCGAAAGGCCGTAAATCAAGTGTGAATAAACTCAGAAGGAGAAGCACACAGGATATCGACAGGAAGACGGCAAGTAATCAAAATGCACAGAGGCATAAAGTATGCGCCAATGTGAGACTCATTTATAATCATTAAATTAAATGCAATTAAACACACAGCCAAGTTGAATTCACTTTGTGAACTACTTACGTAATGGCCACCGGCTCGGAGGATATGATTTCGCGCACCTTCTCGAAACCCAATGTCGTTATGTAGGCTATCGAATACCATTCCTGCCAGCGGGGCATGGGACCCATTTTAACCAGCACCGTGAACGAGAACATTATCAGAAAGAACATGTACGCAATCTGCAAAAAAAAAATATAGCAAATATAATTACATTAAAAAGGGAAGAAAAGCGAATACTGCACGACTGGATGGTACCCTGCAAGCAGCCAAGAAGTGCGAAAGTTCTAATTAATAACTTTCATTTTCAAATACTCCAATTTGCAAATTCTTTTGGCAATGTCATGTTCATAGGGACAGACAGATCAGAAATAATGTACTCTCTATTAAGGTCAAAGATGCTTCCGACTTTTTATCTTTGCACAGGGGATAAATCCCTGTCCAACCATTTGCACAGGTACAGGGAATTAAATAAGAAATACCTTTCTTTATACTTATCCATACAAGTTAGCGTTAGGGCTGTCAATTGCGAGAGCGTGAGCGGAAATTAAGCACTAGCTGCTAATTTCCGTTAGCTAATAATTAAGAAAAAGTCTTTGCACTTACCGAATCGGCCCAGAATTTGGTGATGGGCGCCGTATAAAATTCGTAGAACTTCTTCTTTAGGCGCAGCGGCTGATGCTGTTTAATCTCGTTGGTGAATTCGGAAAGGTGAAAGAATTCCCGAAACTGCGATGGATCCGAGTCTGTCAGCGAGACCTGTGACCCCCGAAAAATGCCAACAAATTTATACAGAAAAAAAATAGATATATATATATAAACTTTAGTTTGTCGCCGAGTTCAGAGTGCAACGAGTGGAATGCATGTGAAGTTAGTTTGAAATTGAGTTTAATTCAATTATCAACATTAGAAAATACAAAGTGCGCGACAGATAGCATATGCATGTAGTATCTAGATGTATGTACATGTGCACGCGGCGTATACGCATGCATATTACGTATACGCAGAGTTTGGCGCGGTGAAGCTACCTACATAGGATATGGTATATATATATATATTTATGTATGTTTAGTAAAACTGAGTTAACTAATTAAAATTGCGTGTGCAATGTGAATGTAACGGCGTGTGGTTTGATTTCTAATTTATTTACGCGCCAATTAATTGTAAGCGACGCCAAAAGCGTTTGAAACATGCACTAAAAGTTCTCTTAATTAATCAACTACTTTGATGCAAATGAAATATACGTAAGCCAACTTTGATTTGATTGATCGAAGAGAAAGTTAAAAGGTTAAGTAAGTAAAATTGACTACTAGTTAAACGAGTTAAGCGAGTACTAGGGGTATTCAACACTAACTTTGGAGGGTGCTTCTTCCGCTCCAGCAGTGAGATTAACCTGTAAAATTCGAACGAGTACTTAACGGGCAGTACTTGTTAGGCAGGTAAAACAAATTGAATGCATGTGAATGTGGTTTAACTAAAAATCAAAATGTAAATCAAAGTTAATGTTTCAGTTAATCGCATGTTGTTAGTCAAACACCTTGGGGACAGCACTTGCTCAGCTAAAAGAGGGCTTTGAAGTTTGGTCTACGGGACGTATGCGTAACGGCGCATGTCATACAATGTGTTCTATTAAGTATAGTATATATATATATATATATATATATATATATATATATATATGTATATATACATTTATCAACTGTTCTATTTCATCTTAATTTAAGTATATATTCAATTATGTGCTAGACGTACATGATGGTCACACAAGTAAAAATGTATACGAAAAGTATTTGAATTGTTTTTTTTTTTTTTTTTTTTTTTGGTGGGAATAAATATATAAGTATATTTTGAGCGCATTCAATTAAAAAGTTCCACAAATGAAATGAATGAGTATAACTGAGTGTCTGTGTATGAGTGTGAGTGTATTCGTGGGTAGTTGTGAATTTACTCACTTTGCCATTTTCGTGTACTTTTGTATCGCGCACCGAATAAGTATCCGCCAATAGAGCCTGCAACGGGTTGAAGGGGAAGGGGCACACGTTTCGCATATATGTATATATATATATTTATTTATTTTAAAAGATAACAATTGACGATTTACGATTTTTGCTTTGTACGAGCAGATGTAATGAATACTTAGCATGGAAAATTTCAAAATGAAAAATTTCAAAGATATTTGTGTCAAAACGGAAATCAAACTAAAAAATTGGTATTCAAATGCAGGCCACAAATTGTATTTGTACAGGGCTGTGTGTTTGTACTAACTACGAGTGTTAACGTAAAAGTAACCTCGACACACAATACCCTTATGCGGGTTGTTGTGGAGTGCGGAGGGGGAGGGAGGTAATACGAATTAAATTTTAATCAATGGCAACACTCGATGTGATTAGCCTAACAACTTTATTGCTGTGCGCACAAGTTCAATAGATTTTAATTTGATTTTCTGATTAAAGGATTTTCCATTGCTTCTATACAAACGGGCATGTGTGTGCCTGTATGTGTGTGGGTGTACTGTGTGTGTGTGTGTGTGTGTGTAAGTGAAAAACAATATTTGAACAACTGCAGAGCTTGCTCTTGAGAGCTGCGAGCACAACATATAGGCAAACAGCTTGACATATCTATAGCAGTTCGCACATATACATATGCATTGTTAATAGCTGTGTGTCTCTCTGTGTTCGTGTGTGTGTTTTTATAGGGTGTGGTGTATGGTGTGTGTGCTTGTGCTCATAACGGTTATTACTTAATTGAACTTTAAATTAAGCCTTAAGCCATGGGACACTGGCCACAAAGGATTCTGCTAAGTCTGCTAATGGCTATTCGCACTTAATATTTTTAACCCGAACGGGCATATCGAACAAGCAAATATTTGTTACTTTTTAAAATAAATATTGCAAATGGGCGTAAGAGGAGGCGTGGCTCTGCTAAAAACTTACATCTGTCGAGTTAGCAGGACTGTGAAATGATGGCGATTGCTTTTCAACTGGTATTAGTTTGCACTTTTCAGCGTATTACCGCAGATTAAATGTGTTATAAAAAAAAGAGATAGAGAACAGAGAACGGAGAAAGAGAGGGAGAGAGAGGGAGGAGACTGCATAAGTTAGGTGAATATGTATAGATAGACCATAAGTCAAGTAACTGCACGACTTTTTGTATACCTAAGGGACGTTGCACAACTTTAATGGCAAACTGTTATACAGTTATACATATATTTTACTGTTATACTCGTTAAAACTTAGCTTGTGCGCTAAAGTGTTAAGTTTGTATACTTTTATTCAATTAAACTAATATATTTTTATACTGTTTTCGGATGCTCATCTACTGCCAAAGGCTTACATTTCTATACTTTGATACTGTTTAACTGTTATACTGTTATAATTTGTTGATGCGTTAAGAGCACACAGTTATACACATAAGGTAAGTTAGACTCTATGGCATACCTAAATCAAGTAAATTATTCCACACTTTAATCCTTGAGCAATCTAACCTAAACCAGAAAGAAACTTCAAACGGCTAGGACACGTTTTCTATTAGCTTAAGGCTAACGATTCCTAAGGCCTTACTAAAAATAACCCACGAATGGTAAAATTACGTTGGACTGGGCATAGAAATCAATAAAAATCAGCTAAACACATAATGCGTTACAAATTAGATGCCATAAATTTGAGTAATGTAGAAAAAATACATAGTTTATATAGACAGAATACAAAGAGTACATAGAATATACAAGACACATAAAGAATTAAACAGAGATAGAGAGAGACAAAAAGAAAGAGAGAAAGAGAGAGAGCGAACGTAACAGACCGACAGACAGACAATTCGATAGCAAATACATGAAATAACAAATACATTGAAAAACATATATATTTATATATAGTAAGTTATATAGACATAGAGTCTTGAACAGGAAATGCTTGAAATAATGTTGGTATATTTTGTTGTTTGTGTTTTTTATCTGTTGATTTTTACTACCTTGTCGCGATTATTACTGCCCGCGCCCATCCTATATCTCAAGGAAATGGATCTTTTGGCTTTTAAAAGGGCGTTCTAAAACAAATAGAGTAGGTAGATGGTATTTGGTAGGGCATTTCGTTAGGTATGATAGCACGATATATAGTTAAATATATATGTATATATATAGAGTTATAAGAGTAATTAATTTGTATCTGTTAATAAGAGTAATTAATTAATTAGTATTTAGCTTAGCTGAAACTTGAATTAATATAATTAAAAAACTGGCACGCATAAAGTTAACAAAAGAAAACTCAATAAAAAACACAAACTAAAATTGAAACAAAGGCTTTTTAACAAATTAAACAAATACAAGAACGTTTGCCTAATCTGGAACTTACCTCGGCATCGGGCTGTGATCGATCGGAATCATCGTTGTCCAGATTTTGATTCTCCAAATGCTCCTCCTCGGTCTGCGGCATTTGTTGTAGCTCCTCTTTCGATTTGAAGTCCAATTGCCTTATATAGAATGGCATTATCAAGCCTAAAATCACCTGCAATTGAATAATGTGGATGCACAAAAATATAATTTAAAAAAACTCCCAACAAAAATACAACAAAAACTCTTAAAATATAACATTTTTTTCTTCTAGTACTTGCCTTAAAATTGGTATTCTTGCGTGTACGCAATCCGCCCATCCAGAGATCCGCCAGTATGACCTGGCTGCAGGGATGGGCAAGCAGGGCGCGATGATTGGCAGCGACGGCCAGCGAGAGGCAGCTCTGATTGGACCACGAGTGCAGCTCGCAGGTGAGCAGGCGTTGTGCCTTTTCCGCGTCCTGGCGATAGCTAAAGTCCAACAGCTTGTTGCCTGCCCCAGCGACAAAACGTAAAGGAGAAAAAACCACAATACAAGACAAAAGGGCAGACAAAAGGCAATTAGTCAAGCGCCAGAGTCAGGCTCGTTAATTAGACGAGTTGGGCGTGATTGACAAGCGCAACAACTTAATTAAATGAAAAGCTTAACCACAATTAACTATCCAATTTATGCGAGGCGTGAGGCGTAATGTGGAGTGGCTTGGCACCGCACTTACCTTTGCTCTCAAACTCTTTGGCATAGGAGCGCAGCTCCTCGTAGATTTCGGTATCCAAATCATCCTCAGCCGCCTCGTGTGCCATTGCTTTGTACAGCTTGCAGGCGACCAAGGATTTGGCCAGCGCCTCCTCGCCGTGCGTCCACATGAGCAGCGCCATTTGCTGCCGCTTGGTTAACACGGCCCAGATCTGTGAAAAGGCCAACAAAATAGTCCCAAAATCGGCCTGAAATTCATTCAATGTACACGCACCAGCAGCTCATTGAACGGGAACTCAAACAGGGCCATTTCGGTGGTAAATGGCAGCAGCCCGGTGACCAGGCTCAGCGAATTGGCGCCCGCATAGCGCTGATATTGATACGAGGACGACTTGCGGCAGGCATTTGCATAGCTGTTCATCACCTTCGCATAGATGGGCCGGAACTTGCGACGCGTATAATAGGATCTGCAGGAAATAAATAGTCCTGAATTGCGTTTGTTTCTTCAAGTAAAAGTCATTTTTCAGCTGCCAAATTTGCATTTCAGCCAAATATATTTGGCCAAGCAGCCAGAGAGAATATAGAGAGAATAATAATAATAATATCCGTAGAAAAATGTCTGTCTCTGTGCTTGCCCTTTTGGATTTGTTTGTTTGTTTGTTGGTATTACTTTTTTTTCATTCATTCTGTTTGCTAAGCTCTGGGCTGGGCGCTTATCCCTTTGTTGGCCAACTCCCTGCCAGGCGTTGGCGGCTTAAGTGATTTCAGTCCTGGCCCAAAACTCACAAATAGTAATTGCATTTTTGTTTTCCAATTGAATATTTGTCACTTTCTGGTAAACTGTATCTGTAGCTGTACATTTGCAGCTGTATCTGTATCTTTCTCAATTTACAGTCTATTTACTTTGTTAGAGGATATTTTAGCCGTATTAAAAGGAAATGACATGCCTAATGGCATCTTTGTGTAACCGGGCTTTCAGTTCGACCAATATATAATTTTGAAATTGCAAAGTGAAAATATTAAAAACAAAATCAAAGACAAATAAGTAACTAAATTGCAGGCATATTAGGTTACAAACATGACCTCTTGTTATACTTGAAAATGAAAATTACCGAGCATTTATTTGAGCTGTTTTGTTGCTTTAATATTGTTTTTGGATGCTCTTTAAGCAGCTGCTGTTTTACGGGCAAACAATTAAGGCGGGCATAAAAAAAATTGTTGCCGTAAATAATTTATGGCGCATAAACGTGCGACGATTGGAAAATCAATTCAAATTTTATGCTAAGCGCAAATGAAAATGAAAAACTTAAACGCTTTTAATTACGCACAAATTGGCAGCTCTTTCGGGCTAAGTTTTTGATAGATGATTGCCTGTTTGCCTGCCTGTTGCTGCTGTTGATGATGGCAGCATTCAAATGTCTAGACAATGGTTTCGAGTGGCAACAGCAGCTGAACTGAATGGCAAACAGATACACACGCACACACACACACACACACACACAGGCAGAGCCACGCCCCAAAGGTATTTGGCTTGCCCTGGGCAGCCAAGTGAGAAAAGGCCAAAACAAGAACCGTAATTTAATCTAAACAACAGTTTTGATGCCAGTTTTTCAGTTCAGAGTTGAGAGTTGAGAGACTGAACAGCATTTAGATGGGCATTTGTCAGATAACTTGCGACCTTTGATTGAAAGCACAATAGCCAAAGGACAAAAGAGAGGCACGCCAGGCTAGTGTTAAATTAAGTAGTTTATCTAGCTGAAGGATATCTCTTGCCAAGCGGCTAAAAACTGGCGTATAAATATGTCTTAGAGCAGGCAACTTATTTACGTTAATTTGGTATTTATTTAACAGAAAATCAAAATTAATTTCTTGCTTAAATGGAAACTTCAGAAACAGCGCTTGAAAATGCACAACCCTTAACTTTGGGCTCCGCTTCGTTTTTTTTTTGCGGTCCCTTAGAAAACCTGAACAAGTATCTTTTGGCTTTTAATTAAATTACTTGATTGATACATTTGCCATGCTTTGGCTGCCTATTGAAACCTCAAACAATTTTTGGGGCAACTCACACAATGAGTACAAAAGCAGAAAAGTTAATATATAAATGGCCGAAAATTAAATACACTTTGCAGATATCTTCATTAAATTTCATTTAGTTACGTTTAAGTTTAATTAAAAACAAATTTAATATATTTGCAAATGATAAGCAGAATTCGAGGTAATCGATAAAAGAAGGAGAAGTAATATCTCAATTTGCCCATCATAAAAACCTCAATGCAGGCAGGACGCACCACATATTCGTAATAACCCAACCGCAGGAGTCAAAAGGGGTCCTTTAAAATATATATTAAATTCACACAGAAAGCGACCGTAAAAGCCGCGTTAACTAAATTTAAGCCGCAGCATTTTGCGCCTCGCTGGCCAAAATGTTAACGAGAAATAATTATAGGCGCCTTTTGGCGGCTGCTTTTCGCTCTCCTTTCTTTTACTTTGACTTTCCGCTTTTATTCTTAGTTTAAATTTTACTTTTTTTCCTGCCTTTTGTCAGTAGTTGAGACGCCCTGAAACAAGCGCTGCAAGTTGTGCATACTTATTACAATTTTATAAACAAATTTGGCGAACGTTCGGAGCTCATCAAATTTAATCCGGCAACAAGTTAAAGGCGTCAGACACGACCCCCCGGCCGCGATGCGGCGCATCCATTGGCCACAATTTTTATGGGCCGGGTCAGTATTAAAAACACAGACATAAACTGAAAGCTCTGCAGTGATAAACTAATTTGCAGGGTCCACACTGCACACAAATCCTGAACTCCCACTGCTCGAGTCCAGCCTGAAAGGATTCTTTCACTGAAAAGGATTCTTTCACCGAACTGGCCGCCCACTGACAACTCGTCCATTTTGTTGCCTTTACGTTTAATTGTCGAGCGTTTTATATGTACTTTGCCTGAAAGATGATCATTATAACTTTGGCATCAAGTTTGTCACGACCTTTTTGGTTGATTTTCCCAAAATTTACGAGCAGCTCTGAAATTTCAGCCCGCACAAAACTTTGTCTCTACCAATTTTTTGGCTACAATTACTCGAGATGCTTGATTTGATGGGCCTAAACTCTTGCCTAGAGTGTTTAACTTTCGGTTTGGATAACACGCATTAAATTTTATGACAACAAATTAAATAATTCGACTAGCAAATACTCTGTACGCGTTGAATAAAGAACTTTAAACGAAAGCTAAGCAACAATTCCAGACTCGATAGAAAAGCTGCAGAAATAATCTGGAGTTCAAGTAATTACTTCAACGACAGGTCAAAGGTAAACCAGTAAATTTTGACCAAGTTATGGAAGACTTATATGTGAAACTTTGAATTTAAATACGCTTTAGTATGCCCTACTTTGTGGGTACTCACCGATAGGCGCCGCCCATTAGTTTATTGATGACAAGACCAATGTCGTGGAGTGTGTAGATGTAGCCCTTGGGTATATGCGGGCGGACATCGCGCAATATGTAGCTGGAATCGGGAATGAAAACAAATAAAAATAAAAAAATAAGTTAAAAAAAACTGAAAGAAAATTGAGCAATGCATAGGAGTTGGCATTTTCATGGACAAACAATTTTCTGACCAAAAAAAAAAATATGTTGCTGCCCCAGAATGGGAACTCACCCCAAGGTATTGGCTGGACCGTGTTTTGTGTTGTAGAGCTCCTCAAGGCGGGGTATTGTTAAAAATTTCTTCATTGAGACGCCGTTCTCCAAAAGTAATTTGACAAAATCGATTCTATCATGTTCGAGTGCCTGCATCATGGCCTCGTCCAAAGCGCCTGCGGGCAATAAAAATTGTATTGCAAATTATGCAGAGTCTGAATAAATGCTAAATATATGCCAGTTTATATCTTGTACATATATTTATGTACTCGTGCTGTGCCTACCATTGGGCCATTCCTGGCCATAGACAAATATCTCGCTGCGCGCGATGTCCACACGGTTCCATGTCAATGCCAGGCTAAGCTGTTCCGGCGGACTGAGGTGCTGTGATTTGAAGAGTGCCGTGAGTATGGTCTGATCCAGCTCCTGTGCCTCGCCTTCGGGCTTTTCCTGTATGCGAAACACAGTAATCTGTTTGGAGGGAACAAAAAAATAAAAAAAAAACCCAACATAAAAATAAGCCTCGAGTAATGGTTAATGCAAACCCTGGCGCGGGGAAGCCTTGGGCGGAGCGGGGCGCAGTCTATTTGAAAACCAATTAAAATCTTAATAACGACAAAATTCCCTAAGTCTACAAATAGCGGAAAATTTAAGGTGCGACGGTGATTTAAAATTCATTAAACATTCAATTGAATTACGTAGGCTAATTATTTTTGCACTTAATTCATGTTCAACTGGGCCAATAGGGGCACTCCCTTCACTCGACTAATTAAATATTTAAATCGGTGCGCGCAAAAGACTTAAGTGATTGAAAAGTTGAACACAAATTTAAATCTCAAGTTAATGTTTCCCCCTCTTTCACTTTTTCTGTGTATTTTATGCGCTTTTAATTGCGAGAGTGCCCGATAACCAATTCCCAGGCAGCTGCCCTTTGAAAGGCTTCGCAATGTAATTAATCATTTTTTATGCTTGTTTAAACTAAATAAACTTTGCTTAAAATATAATAAACTTAATAATGGGTCACTAAGCACATTTAAATGCACAGTCATTTAGCCTGCTCGGGGCCAGCTTTTGATTCAATACAAATGGAGACATTTAAATATCTACGAAAAATAGTTATGTCAATATTTCATTTCTCTTGTTTATGTCAGACCAAACAATTTAATACAATATTGCCATAAGCTGAACAGAAATCTTGCGTTGCCAAGGCATTTGCCAAATACACCTGTACATTGCCAGGTAGAAGGTAGAAGAAGAGAGACACACGTAAAAGCATACATATATATATATAAATGTATGCATATAAATATGCAAATAGTTAAATATGTGTACCAAGTATTCCAGCTTTTTATACCCTGAACCTATTGAAAGTGGCAAGAAGGGTATTAAGGTTTTGCTTACAATAATGTAACAGGCAGAAGAAGGCTTGTTCGTAACCATAAATGTATTTTGATATATACATTTTCATAAATAGCTATTCGTATACTTAATTACATTAACTATCATGCAAGGTCGCAGACTTAAGATACGCAGAAACCTTTTCCATATCTCATCTGTTGAAATATGGCTTTTTATCATGTGCCAATTTTTACAGGGTATACAAATGCATAACATTTATTAAGAGTTGACCAACGCCCACGCCAGCCAATCCCCGCAACTTACCAAATTCTTGTTGCGCGTGCACTGAAGCAACTCCTGGTAAAGTTTCTCGGCCTGATCCACGCCAACTTCAAAGGTTTTTTGTATGGTGCCAATGAGATACTCACGCATGGACTCCAGCACAGGTTGCTCCTCGCCATCGGACGCATACCTACACCATATGCACAAAAAAAAAAAGGTTAAAGACAAAGTTACATATTGAATTAAAGGGCAGAAGACTTGTGGCTGCGACTGTTGCTGCTGTCACCACCGCAATTGCGGCGTCTAATTAAACACATTAAATTAAATGGAGCAGTGCAAAGGGAGACAACAAATTGGTAGGTAAATAACAACAGTCAACTAAAGAAGTCCGCCGCACACAAAAAGTTTGTCAAAACAAATAGAAAGTGGGCTACGCGGCGTATACGTTATATTGTGGCCTACATTTTGTCTTCGACTCGGCTCCGAATTTAAATATGCAATTTGCTAAATGTCGTGTACTTAATGAACTTGAAGCCAGCAACAGCCACTAATAACAATATCAGCGAACGACAGCAGCACCGCAAATAAAATAAGTAAGGACCCGAGAGGCAGAAATGGGCAGGGAAGTGGAAAGTGGAAAGGGGCACGGGAGCGGGAGCCTGATTAAATTTACAGCAAGTGCGGCTGGCTTATTAATTGCGTCTCGACAATCAGTCGGATGGCAGGCCCAAAAACTTACTTGTGCACAAAGGCCAGCAGATCGGCGGCACGCCCGGAACCATCGCAAACAACAACCGGAACGGGCGGCGAGTCCGTCACGTATTCCAGGACAGCACGTATTGTGTTTGTGCCGCCCTCAATCACCAGACAGACGACGGGCGTACTGGAATGTGTGACTGAAACGGGAGGAGCAAATAACAGAGCGACGCTTAAATAAATTATGCTAAAGATAAAACAAAAGGTGCAACTCAATGTTATAATTCGCAGCGGGCTAAGCACACCTGAGCTCAGCTGACCCGACCAGACCTCGCCTGACCTAAGGTTGATTTATGCATTACAACTGCCGCCTTCAATCACAAGAGTTATAACTGACATAATATAAATAAAACATCATTATGATAATAGTCGACAAAAGGCCACAAGAACGCACCCGTATTTTTATACTTATGCCTTGCACAGTTGAACGCAAATACAAATTCAACTTTAAGGCTTTGAAGGCCTAATGACACCAGCTGAAAGTTATGAAATATGAAATCAACAAATTGGTTCCGTTTCATAAAAAAATAATTTAAAAAGAACATTTAAGCTTTAAGCTTCATGCAGAACTTTTGCATAATTTTTAAAACTCTTTCTCACATTTGCGCAAGCTCGAAAAGCATATTAAAGTTTCTAGTCTACAGTTCGCTACTTTTCTGTCAAATTAAATCATTAAAATCAAATTTATTACGATTTTTTTTTGTCACTGCGGGAGCAACATTAAAAGCACATTAAAGCTTTAAGCTTCAAGCAAAAATTGTTTATTTTTATAACCTATTCTGCTCTAATTCTCTCTTCCTCTCCCTCTTCCACTTATTCAAAACTTTATTGTAGCGTAAGCTTTTGTCCTTTCATGAAAAAGAAAGTTGAAAAGCACATTAAAGTTTCTAACTGATCGCAGTTTGCAGCTATTATGTTCGTAATCTTGCCACTTATAATAAACTCGAAAAACGTTCAAAGCACATTTAAGCTTTCAGGCTTAGTCAGCATTTAGCCAGCTTTACATGTTCGACAGGATAAATCCTGTGCCTTTCGTACCACTTTCAACTATTGTCATTGCAAACCCAAATCAGATTAAAGGCGCTGGCTGGATGCAATTTCTGTTCACAAACAATGGCAATGAATGTAAACTGAGCTGTGCACAATGCTCAGCTTTCTATGGAATCTGTGTGAGCTTCAAAGCCACAATTCTGTGCTCTTGTTGCCAGAACTGGAAGCCAACTTAACTGATTGCTTTTTTTTCGACTTGACTCGTAGAACTTACATGGATGCAGCTTTAAATTCGAAATAAATTTCTCCAGTTTGCGGCGCAATATCAATTCAGCGCCGTATTTGGCCTGAGTGCCATTGTCGACGAGCAGGAAATACGCATGCCGATTGTTCAGGACGGCCAATTTCGATCTGGAAACGTTAAAAAGACAAATACATGCTTTATTATTGGCAACAAAAGCAGATGGCAGATGGCGGTCATCAATATTTAAAGGAGCATGCAACACCTGTAAAAGCAGCTGCAACAGGTGCCACAACAGGACCTTTAATGGGACTTGTGGCCTTATCAAATATGCATTAAGTTGTGCTCTATACCCACCTCGGTGAGCTAATACTGTGGCAGGGCACCTCACGATTGTGGCCCAACAGCTCATGATTGCGCTCCACAATGCCCCACGGAGCGATGCCGATGCTGACCACGCGTCCGGTGCGCTGTTGTCCCTCCAGGAGCAAGGCGTCGCCCACTTGCTTCGTGACGCCTGAAAAAAAGACAATGCCAAAAATAACAACAACAACAACAACAAGAGGAGAGTTGGTGACAGAAGCAACCACAACAATGTCCAAAATAAATAAGTTTTTGTGTTACTTTTTTGTCCATACATTTTTTGTGTTTTTGTAACTCAAGTACCTTGACTTTGACTTTGGCTTTAGTTTTATTTTTCCTATATAAATATATATACACTTCTAGATGTATGTAAGTGCGAGTATGATAGCTGTAGGGTTGGGGGTGGCACCGAAGCAGCGTGTCTAAAATTTAATAACAGCTCCAGCACAAAAGAAAACCGACAAAAAGGACAATATTGAGCACAAGTTTGTGTGCGGCACAACGAATCTAATATGCCCTAACAAGAGTTCTGCTCTTTGTAAGTCTTAGCAGTAGCCAAATGTGAATATCTGTCTCTTTCTATATAACTCGACGCTCAACTTTAAACAATAAGCAAAAGCCATCTATATCAAGAAGTATAGGTTGGGATATATGCTGCGCTTCTTTTTATTATGCAACACATTGGACACATTTTTAATTACCAGCTTGATAATTCGATATTTAGAGCTGTGAGCTGGGGCTGGCAAAACCTATTATCGCACTGAAATAGATATCTTTGAAATAATTTGATATCCAATACAGTTGCGTCATGTTGGCAAGTGCCTTGGCAACTGCTTAGTTCCCGGTTTTTGTTAGGGTAGTTGGTGTCGCTCAGTTGTGGGAGAAAGTGTGTGCAATCAGTTGGCTGCGCGATTTCCGCTTGGGATTTTATTTATTTAATTTTCAAGTGACTGCCCAAGTTGAAGTCGTGGCTCAGAGGCTGCGTTTGACTGAACTTATTTAACTTTTATTCAACTTCTCTTTAATAGTGGGGCCATAAAAAATTGTCGCAGTGTCTGGTCGTAAAAATTGAAATGAAGAACTCACCCGTGTTGGTGCCGCCGGTGAATATCCAGGCGCCCGTTGTTTTGGCCGCCTTCAGCAGTCCTTTGCGTATCTCCTGCGAGCGAGCGAAAGGAAATCAGAATTTGGGGCCAGGTTCAGGTCAAAGTCGACGCCATTCAATTAGCGTGTGAAAGAGAACACTTGGCAGGTGGATGAATGGAAAAGTTTTTAGCTTACCTTTTTTAGTTTTGCCTGCAAATCAAAGTTGGCTTTGCCGCCCTGCACGGTGATCAAAAGTTTTGGCAATTCCAGATTCCATTCCTTGGTGAATAGCTGCACCAACAGCTCCGGTCGCGTATCGAATGACAAGCGCACATACTGCAGGGAATATATACACCAAAGGTGGGTGTGCGTGTGTGTGCGTGTTAGTTGTAAAGTTATTGGCCAAAGTCAAGCGAAGTCGATGCCAGCGCCTCGAGAGACTCGAGGCATATGCCATGTGCCACGTGCCTCAACAGAGCACTTAATAGCTAAATATATTCCGTTTATAGGCCCGATGAACTCACCTGCGCCTTGGTGGGATGCGCCCCGCCTTGAAATTCAATGGTGCCATACGCATCGGTGGGCTGGGGCCGTGTGTGCTTTGTGGGCAGCCACAGATCGCCCGGCGAGCCGCTCTCGATGCCGGCTATCGTCTGATGTGTAATCTGTGCCTGGCCGCAGCAGCATCTATCAAAGGGTTTTCGCGGAAGAGAAAAAAAAAGCAGATAAAAAAGAGTTGTTAATATACTGTTAATGCCATGTTGAGTATACGCCATGTCGCCAGCAAATTAGTCATGTGCAGACGTTCCTTGTTATACCCTTTCAGAGGCTATTATAATTTGGTCATCAAATGTTTAACACATAGAGGAAGACATCACCGATCCCATAAAGTATATATACTTTGCAGAAATCCCTCTTTCTGTTGCATGCAGTGTATACTCAAGAACTGGCTAGATCGGACCGCTATATCCTATAGCTGACATAGAAACGACGGTCGAGAAGTGGGTTCTTGTATGAAAATTTTTTTGTTTCTGAAAACATCTTGACCAAATTCGACATTTATAAGTTATACTATACTTCTCGTATATATGCAAAATTCTATCAACATCGGACCACTATATCATATAGCTGACATAGAAACGAACGGTCGAGAAGTGGGTTCTTGTATGAATAGCTTTTTGCTTTTCAGGACATCTTAACTCAACTCGGCATTGACCATTATCCCAGTGCTTCTTAGATACGGGCATAGCATTATGGATATTATAAAGGAGTTCGCTCTGCAAGGGTATTAAATCTTCGGCGTGCCAAAGATAGTCCTGCCTTCATGTTTCTTTTTGAACATGTTGATTCATTGTCAATATATGCGTTATATAAATGACACAAGGTAGAACACGCAGCGACACACTCACAACGTGAACGCGTGATGCTACCCACGCACGTTATGGCAAGCCTCACGTGTAAAATAAACCGTTATTTATGCATGTGCGGCTCTTTTGTGGGTGGCCTTGTTCCTGTTGCTGTTGCTGTTGCCGCTCTCTCAGCTGTTGTTGTCCTTGTTCTTGTTATTGTTGTTGTTGTTATTTACTCATACCCAAAGCTGTCACATTTGTCTGTCTGCCTGTCTGGCTGCGCGCTTATGTGTGTGTGTGTGTGTGTGTGTGAGTGTGTGTTTGGCTATAACAATAGCTTTGGCAAAGACAAGTTGCCAACTCGTCTGACTGTCTGTTAGCTTATGTCTCTGTCTTTCTGTCCCTCTCCCTCTCCCTGACTGCTCTTGGCAGTTTCTCAGAAGTTTTGGCCCAGTTAAATAATAAATTTCAATTACAACAAACTAATAGAAACCAAGCATATGCATCACTCAGCAACAATTGCCTAATGAATAAATCAATTGCAGCTCATAGAATACACATGCCTGCAGAATACCTGAAGAAATGTGTAAAGTGGGGCATGTGTTATGTAAATATGGTTAAATATTTCTTATAGGCACTTGTTTTATGCCTCAATATACTAAGGGACACATTCGATCTGTTTTTTTTTAGCTCAAAACCTGGCCCAATTATAAAACTCTTTCCTTGATTCTATAAATATGTTTTTATAAGCATTAACCCATTTAATACCCTCGATATTTCATATACTTGATATACTCTATATACTGTATATACTCTTTATATTCTGTTAAGTCCATATATGTCTATATATTTTATTGCTTTAGGATGTGGCCTACACCTTCTTCTGTTACCCCGCTTGGCGCAAATAAATCTGCACATTTGTGTGTGGCACATGCAACACGTGTTGCCAGCCTACCAATCGAGCCATTTGAGGCACGCTAAGCCATGAATAATGTTTAGCACACACACACACATTGCATTGTAGAAGCATGTGTAAATAGCGTAATTTATTTTGCCAGTACAAGGAGAGGTAAGTGGGCATCTGCGTCAGGCATTGGATTGTGGGGGTACGTTAGCCAACAATTGTCAGCGCCAACAATTAAATGCCTGCAACAGGGTGGGAGAGCCAGCTGAGGGGGACGGGGTGCTGTGGGCACAAAAACAGCTGCCAGGCAAAAAGCTGATGATTGTGGGTTAAAAGCGCTGCCAAATATTTGAGCAGTCAGCTAAAGTCTGATAAAGAACGTCAGTCGGGCGAAGCCATAAAGCCATCATAAACTGTACACACTGTACGTAACTGACAAAAACTTTCACCCAAATAAGCCAGCCGAAGAAGAAGAGGAAGCAACAGCAACAGCAACAGCAGCAGCAGCAGCAGCAGCGACAGGCAGACAGGCAAGTTTATATAACCCATTTATCTCAATTGGTTAGGGAGCGCATCTTGGGGGCAGCGTTGCCCTGGAAGAGGGCTGGGGCGGGCAGTTAACTGCCAGCTATAATAATAAACAATAAAATTCCAACGCCAAAAATGAAACTAAATACACAAACCCTCCGCCTTGCCCTAGCCCAGGGCAAGTGGGACAAATACATTGCGCCTCGGTGCATCAAACGGGCTGTTTGATACGCAAAACTGGGTCAAAAGTTTCAAGCCAAAATGGATGCTTAGAGCAGGGGGGGAGGGGGTAGTTTTTTGCACTCCGTTGGCTTAATTACTAAATGAATTGCAATCAGATTTTCCAAGTTTTCATTTGACACTTACTTTGTATCGTCCTTTGGGCATGGTATGAATTTGATGCACTCGCGTTTCTGAAAATTTGTCTCGATCCAACTGCGCGGCTGATGCTACAAGTTCGCATTAAATCGAATAGAAGGAAAAGAAAAATTAACAAAAGACCAATAATCGTATTAGTTCAGTTAACAAAACAACATTTTCTTTTTATGGCACATTAAACATATTAAAAATATTATTATTATTATTATCTTTTTTGTTTTTGCCTGAACAATCTAGAATTGAAACTCAAAAAAAGAGAGTATGTTTCCATAAGCTTTACAGATCTTATTACAAAAAACTAGTAGAGACTTGAGAATTACATTCAAATGTAGTTCCCCAATTTTGGAGGGTAAATATATGTATTTATATATATGCAAATAGATTGGGGCCAAGTGCTCAGTGAAAGAGTCTATAGAAAATGGCTACACCATATGTAAATTATAATTATTTACAATTAGGAAATAATATACATCAAATTAATCGATAACGAAATAAGATTATTAAAAAAAAAAGCTACTTAACAAAAATTGCAATAGTTTATAGAAAAATATACATTTACAGGAAATAAGTAGCTGACATTTCTGGAAGTTGCTTAATTTTGTGTATTGGAAAAAAGTAATTTCAAAATGTACATAAAATGTTAAATACTTTGTCATATTATAAACTATATATAAATATAATAATATTAATATTTTTATTATAACATACTTTTATCAGGTAAATACAGCTATTAAATATTGCTCAAAGGAGACAAACAACTATTTATATACAGATAATAAAATACGATTGGCATATCAAATCAAGACTACGCAAACTGCAGTTAAGAGCCCATTCAAAATAGTTGCAAAGAACAAAATAAAAAAGTGAATAGAAAAAAGAAAATGGAAAAACTCAAGTGGAAAAACTGGCGGGTAAATAGAAAAAACTATTCGCAGGCTCCAACTGGAATCACAAGCCTCTCAAACTTGTAACAAATGCAACAGTTGGCAAAAAAAACACATGAAAGAAAATATAGTGGCGGTTGGCCGACTAGGAAATACCCTCTAACAAATACAATCTTATGAGCTACTCATGTATACTCTGTATACCTGCAGTTGCAGCTAGTATTCGATTTTGAGAAATATTTGTTTAGAGTATTCGAATGATTCACACTTGATCAAGAATGTATATACCTTGTCAAGGATTTAAACCATTTTCAATGGCTACAGGGTATATAAATAAACAGTTTAGGACTGCCAAAGCTGGCTAAGAGCTGAAGTCGGACTGTGATTAGTGGCTGGAGTGGCGACTATTGACTATTGCCAGTTGACTGGCCGGTTCTATTTGAAGTACCTCGACTGTAGACTCGCTATTTGCCTGCGCTTTGAGCAAATCCCGCACATTGAGTATCAAAACTTTCGATAGTGTCGATGAGACGGAGGAGCGCTTCCGCAAACGCTGCCGCTTGCGTATGCCACGCGGCGTGCTGGGCAAATCCTCGGGCAGATCGAGTGGGACGGCAGTGGCGGAGGCGGGGCTGGGTACGGTTAGGGTAACGGCTGGCGTATTGCTAAAGCGTCGCACTGTGGAGAAATCTCGCGAAATGCGGCGCAAATATTTGTGCGTCGCGTGCGGCGAATCGATAACCATTTTTGCGCTTTTTCAGCTTATTATTATTATTTTTTTTTTTCGGTTTTTCTCGCATTCGCTTTTCACTAATGCGCGTTAATTATGTGCCATTGCATTTTTGTAGTTCTTCTTTTTGTTTTTGTTTTTTTTTTTTCTTTGTATGTGTTTGCAGCGTGCCGCGCGAATCTCAACTGAAACGCAGCTGATGCTGCTCGATGCTGAACTAACGGGACAGGCAGATGAGAGGCGTCATCTCTTGATAAAGCTCCAGTTATTTACAATGTACTATTTGCGCGGCGAGGGAGAGAGACAGATAGAGAAAGAGACAGAAAGAGGGGTAGAGAGAGAGTATGCACTCTGCGGGTTTTTTTTTTTTTGTTTTTGTACGGTAAAGGCATTAACAAGCGCTCAAATTAGATAAGGCTCGCTCGTTACACGGCTAAAAATAGTCGAGCAATAAGTGCAAAAATTTATAACTAGTTAAAGGCTCCAGGCTCCAGAAGATCTAGAGAGGGTCTTAAAAATATAAACTAAATAAAACTACTGAAAAATCAATTTAAAATTCCAGCATCGTTAAATTAAATCAATAAATTTAATATTATTATTTATGCTTCTTACTAAAAAATATAAATTAAATAAAACAAGGCAAATCAATTCAAAATTCCAGTCTCATTTAAACACAGATAGATTTGCTATTTTATATTAGATACATTTTATTTTATTATTATTATTACTCAATTATTATTATTTCCTTTTGAAAAATGTCACTGTACTAGCTAAATGTCTAAATTGATAGAGAAATGTTTGCGTTAAGTCGTGTTTGCATTTCTCATTAGATGCGTGAAAAAAATTTATTTGTTTAGCACAAACACGTTGATTGAGTCGTGTCACGATACGCGCTCATCTCTAGCCCTTCACGCTCTAGCTCTCTGGCATTTTGGCGTCGTGTAGCTGCAACGCACTCGAGTGCAACAAATCAATTTGGCTTGTGCGTGTGTGTGTGTGTGTGTGTGTGCTGGCCAGGTTGGATCCAGTTAATGCCATTACGAAGCGCAGGTTCACATTTAAATTTTGTGTTTGCTTCAATTTGAAACAGGCACACAACACTTTGCCCAACTGAGCTGCATATAATTAACGTGTCTGCGCCAAATGCATTTAATTAATATTCAATTATTTGCTTGTCTTGTCACTTGAACAAGTTTAGGCCAAATTGATAAGACAAAGCCCAACCAGAAAGGCCGCCATCAAAGCACCGAGCATTTAATTAGAGAAATATGTGTGCATGTTGTTATTTTATTGCTACCGAATGTGGCCTAATTAAGTTTGAACATTTAATGGCCATAATTAAATGCACTGGCCACGATTGGCAATGAGATATTATTCAGTTTTCAAATAAACAAACAGAACTATTCTGTAATTACATTCGATAAATAAATATGCATTCAAATTATGACTTGACAATATAATTGCTGCAATATATTATCACGCATCCCTATCTCCATCAAATTATTCAAAATATTGCCATTAGTCTTAACAGATATTTAGTTTAATTCTAAAAGTAATTATAAGAATAATTAAATGGGAGTTGCTTATTAAACTAAATAACTGCTTAGCATAAAATAGTTAAATATATTGAAAGGATATGCAAATTGTTAAACGAAAATATAGAAAATCCTTCATTCCGAAATTGAAAGAATCGTAAAATAAAATAAAAAAGTGCTTAAGCCATTACTCAACATCAACCTTATACAGATATAATTAAATATTTACAAAAAAAAAGAACTGAACAGAAACGGAAAAGACAAAGTTGTGATTGATACGCAACAAATTCGAGTTAAGCAAATAAATAATAACAATAGAATATTAACAATATTGAACAACCACAACAATTGTAACGAACAACATAAAACAATTAGACAATTGCACAGACTGACAAATCAGAATGTTTAACTTGATATTGATATTGATATTGATATGTGGATATATAGCTTACCCTGGGCACAGTTATATTTATCAGACCCCAACAGATTTTTTTCAGTCCCCATGGTATCTTTAATGTGTGTGTGTTTTTTTTTTTTTTTTGTTGTTTTTAATATTTTATGAGACAAAACATTGTTTGATTTTTCGAAATGTTAAGTACAACAAGATTTGCGCGTGTTTAGTTGTTGTAGATTCGAATACGTGATTATTTTGATTGATGCGTGATTGACAAGTTGTGTGTGTGTGTGTGTTTTTTTTTGTCATGTTGCATTTGACGTATTTCGTGTTGCACGCACACATACACACACAAAGGTGCAACATATTATTGAAAAATGAAGTTTCACACATTTTTTTTTTTTTGAGATTTTTTTTGTGGCATAAATGTGAAAAAAAAAAAAACAATTAAAAAATTATACAAGATAATTAATATAAAAGTAAATATAAAGAAGTTTCAATTGTTTGTGTTATTTCATTACAAATTTAGTTTGCAACCAATTTGCGTGTGCGGGGTTCGGAAAGGGGTTAAGAAAAATTATAAATTCATAAATTAAGCATAGTTCTCGTTATAGAGTATTTAGAAGTTCGGTTGTTTTGTGTGTGTGTGTGTGTTTTATTTTTTCGTGTCGAGTGCAAAGCAAATTTGTAAATAGAAGAGAAATATTATTGTTCTTGAATTAGTCGAGAGCATTACATTACAATTTATTTGTTTATTTGTCAACTACGTAAATCGCTCTGTAATTATTATTATTATTTTTGTGTTTTTGGTTTTTTTTTTTTTGCAGGTGGGGGACGCATTTTGTTGACCGACTTACTACCAGACCACTTTGCCGGAGGAGCTGTATTTGCGACTTGTTTCTTAAACTTAGGCTAATATAAATGTATTAACGCAACTCTAGAGTTAAAATTTACAATAATTATTTTTCGATTTGGATAGTATTTAAAGAGTTTTTCAATTGGCTAAAAGCGTTTCAAGCAAATTGTTAGCAATACGTGAAAATAAATAAAGTTAGCCAACAGTTTAGCCTAAAAGTATGCAATTGAATTTGGACGGGATATTCCAATGTTAAGATACCCTGCACGCTCATATATATATATATATATATTTGTAATACGTGCGCAATGTCAAGCCCAGTCTTATTTAGCAAGTTTTCATCTAGTACCTAAGCCACGCCCACAGCCACAATCATTAGCAACTGCAACACACAAATGCAAACTGTTTTCCAACTGCTTTTAGCCTTTATTAGAACCGAGTGCAAAGCCCTCGCTTGTTTATAGATTACAGGGTATCAAAATTCAACAAAAGCTGCTAAAACAAATACCGCAACACAAACACACATACACACACACAAGCGACTTTCCCACACCCACGCAAACATGCAACATGTGCCGCTGCCCAAAAGTTTAAATTGAGTGGGCGTGTCGCTTTCGTAACCCAGCCACGTCTATAAACTAACCCACCCGCTGTTAAATAGTTTGCATTTGA